ACATTTCTTTTATTTTCGTTTGTGTTTTTTGCTCATTACAGTTTAATAGAACCTAAGTATGGAGTTTAATAGCAAATTAAGAGGCCGCGTGATTAACAGTCAATCTCGCGAAATAATAGCCAATGTTATAGAGTTTATGAGAAGAGAAGGAAACTTTAATTCACCTTCAATACCATTTAAAAATGTAAATGATCGTGTTGCTGCAGCCACAGGGGTATCTAAAAACACTGTCGTCCGCATTTCTGGAGAGAAAAAAAGAATCGATAACCGTGAGATATCGGAATTTTCATCACCAAGAAAAAACATTAAAAAACCAAAAACAGTTAATGATATAGATGAAGCTGCACAAGAATCAAATTTTATTTTTTTATTATTAGATAGCTATTTTTGTTTCTGAGTTGTGTTCATTTACAGGCTCAATTTTTTTCCGTTTCTCCTTTTTGATTTATATGGGGTTTCAAGTTGTTTTTGACTTATTTCGACGTAAATCACAACAACACACTTTTTTAATAAAGCAAACAAGTGTTAAGAGGTATATGTACGTGTAAACTACAATTACAAAAAATTGATATGAAACCCATGAAACCACCAACAAAAATGTAAAGCTAGCTTCCGTACTAGAACATGGTGTCATTCGTCGAGATAATTTATCGTTTTGTTTAATAGATCAAGAAATGTAAATATTCCCCTGTTATTTTTTATAAAATTATAAGAGAAATAAATTTTTTTCTAAATAGTATAGTTTATTATTTTGTAGAAAAACAAAATTTCGAAAATTTTAGTAATGTTTCAGAAACAACCGTTATTAATAATAGGTACCATTTTCCTTAATAAGGTAGAAATAAAATATAAACTATTTCCACGATTTACAAAGGCCTACAAAAAAATTATAGGTATTTTCCGCTATCCTATAAAATTTATATTTTCTGACTCAATTTCAAAAGGTTGAAGGAATTCCAAAGCACCTTTTATGGCATAATAATTATTTTCAATTCTACATACTATCTTTAGCTGCTTTTAAAAACGTTCTAAGAAAGTCCAATCAGACCAATTTAATCCCTAAACTATTCCACACTTTTAAAATTAATTACCTAAAAATATTAAAAACTATTTAAAATAACTTGTTTAGCAGACTGTACAATAGCTATCTTAGTCACACGTAGCGCGTTCTCTGTCTGGGCGTCGAACACCTCTAGAAATTTGATGAACTGTAATGTTACTGAAATTGCAAGTAAATTTAATATATTTTTTATAGGTAGCATTACGCAAATAGTTGATACTATCTCTACTGAAATAACAGGAAATTTCTGTAACTGTAATATATATTTTCAATTTTCAAATTTTTGGTTTTTTTCTTTGAGTGAATTGAGAGTAATTGTAAAGTCGTTGAAGAATAAATGTACTATGTATGAAATCATTAATTCCAAAATGTTGAAAGAAGTATTTGAAACGTGTGGTCATGTTATCTTAAATCTAATTAATACTTCTCTTCAAACTTCAACAGTACCAGATTCACTAAAAATAAGTACAATAGTTCCAATTCCTAAAGTAATTAATACAATAAATGCTTCGGAATTCCGACCTATAAATACTTTGCCACCTATAGAAAAAGTGCTTGAATCAGTTGTATATGAACAAACTCTTCAACATATTGAACACAGTTATATTTTATTTATTAACCATTCTGGATTCCGCAAAAAACACTCCTGTGAGTCTGCATTACAGTTACTGATGAGTAAATTTAAAAATGATGTGGAAAGAATAAATATGTAGTAGCTGTTTTTTTAGACCCGAAACGTGCATTTGAGACCATTGATAGGGGTATTTTACTTAAGAAAATTCAACAATATGGTGTAGTTGGAAAAGTATACCAGTGGCTGAATGATTATCTGCAAGGTCGTAGACAAAAAGTACATTTTAATAATACCCGAGATTAACATTGACACAGGGGTTCCGCAAGGAAGTGTCCTAGGGCCGCTGCTTTTTATACTATATTTGAATGATATTGGACTGTTTGTTGATTGTGAATTCATTAATCTCTTTACTGATGCCACTCTGCTAGCATGCTCTGATATAAATTTAATGAGTGCAATCGAGAAAATGAATAAAATACTGGAGGAAGTTGCCCAGTATTTTCAACTTAACTAATTGAAATTGAATGTAACTAAAACAAAAGCAATTATATTTACAACTAAACATAAATATAGCTTACTTGATATCAATGATGTTAATTCACAAATAAATGGTGAAAAAATCGAAATAGTCCCAACTATTAAGTATTTAGGTATCCAATTAGATAATCGACTTACTTTTAATGATTTCTTTAATTATATTAATAAAAAAAAATTTGAAAAAATTATATTTCTTCTCTAGAATTTTAAATAACTTGTCAACTTCAACTAAAATAACAGTATATATTACAATTATTCAGCCTCACTTCGATTATTGTGCCTCCATTCTTCATTTATTTAATCTCAACAAGTTAAATCAACTTCAAAAACTACAAAATCAAGGCATGCGCATAATATTAAAAACTAATCGTCCTACACCAATTGCTACAATGTTAAATTCTCTTCAATGGTTTTTGATTCAGCAAAGGTTGTACTACTTGACAATTATGTTTCATCCTACTTTCAACAACTTATTTGTTATCATGGGGATATTCATGATTACAGCATAAGATCAACTAACGATATATACATTAAAAAAGTTAATTATTCGAAATCACAGGCATCGTTATTGTATAAAGGTTTCCAAGAATATAATGAACTGCCCAGGGGCTTGAAGGATTGTAATTCATTAGCAAGTTTAAAAAAAAATTGACAACTTTTAATAAAACTGATAAAATTTGATTTTAACTTTTATATATTTGATTATTACTTTTTTTATTCTTCTTTTTTAATATTTGGGTTCATGCTTCCAACTGTTATTTGTTTTATTGTTAATTAAGGCTGTCTAAAGTCAAGATTAAAAGTATCTTTGTAATTTGTAACATTTATTTTTCTTAACTCAGATTATGTTAATGTTAATAATCGTTACAAACCCAACGAGGTATACGACTCTTCAGTTAAACATTCCTAAGATCCCTTGGTACAAGCATTATAAAATACTGCGAAAGTACATATCGACAATGATTAGGATGAGATTTGGTCATGCCTGTTATCCTAGCCATTTATACAAAATTAAAGTCTCTGAAAGTGACCAATGCGAGACGTGTAATGAAAAAGGAGATTTAGACCATATCTGCTTTAATTGTACTAAAAACAAAAAATTCTCTGACAAGCTATATAACGACCTGCTTAAATGCAAAATATGCTCCCCTTGGAATATCCAAAGTTTATTGTCCTCCAATTCTACAAACATTTATGACTGCTTGATTATTTTTTTAATGGAATCAGGTATACGCTTGTGATTAGTAATCACATACTTTGATTTTCTTTTACTATACGGAGAATGGTCGCACTGCGCAGCTTTCTGAGTGCCTTTTAAAAGGAGATAGAAAACTCCGCCATTTTGAACCTTTATTACGTGTTGCCTACATCTTGGCGCAATATTTTTAATAGGTGCGTTTTAATCATCCGCTTCTGCTTCGGAATTGTCGGTTTTCTTGTTTTAATCTGACAGGTCCCCGTTTAATCCTCTTGTTATTTGAAATTAAATATTTAATGATTTACCTCTTCCATTTTGTGAGTGACTGTATGACAAAGAGTCTATGCCAAAAACAAAAAGTTTTAAGTGTACTGTATTTGAATTTCTATAATAAATTTTTTGTATATTAGGTTTCTACTTCAATTAATATCTATCTACATTTATGGTATCATGTAAAAGATTATCATTGCCGATATTTCGTTTTATCCGGGCTAGTGATCCATTATTTTTGAAAATGGTAAACAACTTTATTTTTGTTTTGTATGTCGGTGCTGTTTTATTAAATTCTCTAAAAAAATCTTCGTCTTGTTCGCATAATAGATGTTGTTTCAGCAAAATTAATTATGATACTTGCCTTCTCTGTTTCAGAAAATAACATTTTAATGTAAAAAGAATCACTTGAAACCTTAGTCTAAGCTTGTAGAACAGTTAAAACAACAATTTTGACATTTCTTACAAAGCCTACTATAAAATTATTGATGAGAGTTATTGTGAATTATTGATTTTGCAGGCTTTTTCAGAAACTTTAATTGTTCAGTCATTTCTTCATCGATTTCAAAAAACTTTATATCGCCAGATAGCTAAAAGGACTGGCTTTCGGAGCATTAAAAAATATACGGGGTGTTCCATTAAAAAAAAATAAGAAATACGTCTTTAAAAAACCGCCATTTTGTTTTTCAGTAAACCGGAAGTGCTAAATAATTTTGGATTGATTGAAATAAAACTTGGAATAGTTTGATACATTTTGGTGAATACTTTCGTTTAAAAGTTATAAGCTTGCTAAATGTTGGAAAATATAATGGGACACTCGGTATAATCCTTGGGAAAAACGGCCAAATTCCTCTATAGCTACTGCCTACTGCATGAAAAGCCAAATCCAGATATTTGTTTTTAATTTGGTATCATTAGCATCAAGTACTTGGGTTATTAACCTCGTGTTCTGTGTAGGCTTTGTTACTGTTTCCCAGCGCTACATTCGGAATAGCATTGTTAATTAGAACCCAACAGTGAATGTCCGAGTGGGGAATTCTACCTATACATTAGAATTAATATTTAATTTATAACACATAATTTTATTTGATTTCATAAATTTTGAAAATAAAGTGTTTTTCGTTATGACCGGTCGTAGAAAAAATAGTGCGTACAACTCACATTTAATGTATCATAATATACAACCCTAAAAGGCCTAACCCAAATCGCAAAACCTCCCGTTTTTAGTTTTTGTACTCAACAAAACAAAGAATCACCTGTTCAAAGCATCAAATTTTCGACAATCCGCTCCTGTAAATTCCAAAGCATCGGACCCTCTGCCCTGTTACTTCTCACACTTAACAAGTCAGCATGGGCAGACAGCTGGCGCCAAGAGTGCGCCCACACCCCCCCTCCCCACGTTTCGGAGCCACACAACAGAATACATTCAGTGCACCAGCACGAAGCATGTCCTCTTCTCTTTACTCACTACTCACTTGTTCCGCAGACGCTCGTTTAGTCAGACGCGACTGTCAAATAGTCAGAGTAGGTCGAATGGCCCTTTAGTAGTTCAAAACACGCGGTTGACGAATTTTTAGTTCTGTGCCATAGAAATAAACTTTATAGAAGAACTTTTTGTGCTGTGATATACCTAATAACGTTTGAATTTTTTTTGTATTTATCGTTTAGTTTTATGGAATATGACGAATGGTGATTGTTTTGATTTGTGCATCAACGGTTAGTATTTTGGATTATTTTTTCTTATTGTATGTGTAAGTTTTTGTTTGGATATTATTTTTTAATTTCCTGATTCCAAAAATAGTGACGAAACTTTGCAAAAAAGGAGTTATTGGTTGATCTTTTTAAAACTTTTGATTTTCGAGATTTTTCAGTTTTCGTTCTAGTCAAACATGAAATATATGTACAATTTTATGAAGGGCTAATTTCATATTGAATATTAAAAGGTCCTTTAACTAATGGGACCAAGATTTAATGGTCCTATTAGTTAATTCTCCTTTTAATATTGATTATATGAAATCGGCCCTTAATAATAATTTGCATTTTTGAAATTTGATAATGTAGACAGCTTTCATGTGTGAGTAAACCTAAAACTGAAAAATCTCGAAAATGGAATCAACCAAAATCCGCTTTTTGTGACAAGTTGCGAGAGGAATAAGTATTAATCTTTTATGATATGTAGGGTGTTCAAAAAGTTTGGATTAAAATTGTTTTCTTTAGCTCTTGATTATACGCCAATGGGTTTCATGAACAGCGTGAAAGTAACATCTCTTAAAATAACAGTTTGCATATAAGTTGTCAATATCTTTGAAGACATCATTGTATAAAATAGTCATTTATGCAACAAATTTGTAAATTAAATTTTTTGACGAATGTGAATGTTATCGCACGAGCCGTAGGCAAGTGCGACAATCACATGAGTTAAAAAAAGAACTTTACACACGAGTTGCATATAATCTTTTTTCTACTACCGTACACATTATCCACTAATTTTAGGAATATATAAGTTATTTTTTTTCACTAACATAACTAGTGAAAAAAAGTTCAATTTTACGCACGGTAGTAGAAAAAATAATTTATATCCGATAAACCATTTAATAAATTATAGAGTATGGTAATTTTAAAAGTGAAGAATTTTTTTAGTATCATAAACAATCAGTTTAGCTGCCCTGCCCTATATAAGAATCGATTCCAGTAAAACTTGGTATTCCTCAAAACACTTGCTTGGGGCTACTACTGTTCTTTACAGTTTAATGAACTAATTGCATTAGTTACAATCTTTATTTTGCAATTCTTCTGTGGGGTCTATTCTGTAAAAATTTGGTTAAAATTAACCCTGGGTTATAAAACTAACTTGATGTTATTAATTTTGTATTCTGTATTATTTGGTACAAATTGTAATAAAAATGCTGGATTAAATCTAACCTTAAGCTCGTAAAAGTAAATATATTAGTAAATCGACACATTATATAGTTCTCGGGAGAGCAAAATGGCTTTATTATGGTGTTATTGCGAACAAGTATAAAACCATTTGGCATTTACAAAAACTATTAGCACTAGTACAGAGCAAAATGACTATTTTAGTGTTATTGTGAACAATTATAAGACCATTTGGCATTTACAAGAACTATTAGCACTAGTACAGAGCAATTTCTGCTGTATAATAGTTTCAAGAAAGCAAAATAGATTTATAGTGATGTTATTGCGAGCAACTGTAAATCCTTTTGCCATTTTTGACGACAATTAGACAAAATTAGACAATAAGATTTTTATTATGTAGGAAATTCATTATGTCAGCATCCTCTATACTCTGACAAAATATTGAAGAAGGTGATTCCTCCCTGTTCACGTACAACAATAATACTATACCAGAGCATAATGAATGGAATCACGCGCTTAAAACTGCAGAAATTATCGGTATCACGTGCCAACTAGTCATAAATGCATGTTTATTGCCAAAATGAATTACGCCAGTGGCGTATAAAAACTATTGGCAAATTAAATGCGGTAATAGTAAATAATATTATATGCAAGTAGGTTGGTTATCTATTTTTGTACTAATAATCATTTATGTTTATAATTTTGTTTTGTTTATTGTTAAAATATGTAAATATGCCAGTGGCGTAGAAACACTATTGGAAAATTAAATGGGGTAATACACTAGAACAAAATATTGAAGAAGGTGCGCCTTAAAACTACAAAAGGTATTGTTATCATATCAAAACGCACTCTTCCAGTGTCGCAGAAATATTATATTGGCAAATTAAATGGGTATTTGTGAATATCACTAATTGCAAGTAGGTTGGTTATCTATTTTTGTTATAATAATTCATCAATGTTTATAATTGTATTTTGTTTATTATAAAAAAATATGTAAATTAAGCTTGGTATCACTTACTTGAATTCTAAATCTATGAAGTTTCGTAATCCATTGATTCTGCAGAACTATCACTGGAATTGTCTTTATCGTCGGAACTTAAAGTTATGACTAAAGGTTCAACTACCGTTTCGATCATACCGTCCAAGCGCCACACATTATTTTCTTCCTTAATTACATGGGAAATAGCATTCTGCCAATCTTCAGGTTTTATACGTTCTATACTGGTTTTTAATAAACTTTGAACGTCGGCTATTTTAAAAGTTTTATTTTCTCGAGCTACAAACCCTTTCACTTGCGCCCAAATTAGTTCAATAGGATTGAATTCGCAGTTATAAGGGGGCAGTCTTAGTACCGTAATACCACGATCACGAGCCATTGTGTCGACAACATATTGAATATATTTATGGCGGTGTTCCTTTATTAGGTCCATTAATTCCACTTTAAGCATCTCCTCAGTAAATGTTATTGCTTTATCCCGCAGCCAGGTTTGCATATCCGCTTTCCTACTGGGCATTATCGGAATGCGTTCAACTCGTCGACTGTGATATGAAGCGTTATCTAGCACAATAACTAAATTTCGTTCTACACGCTGTAATACTTCAGTAAACCATTTTTCAAAGCATTCCGCATTCATGTCCTCGTGGTAGTCTCCTGTTTTTTTCGATATAAACACAAGAGCGCTATTTTCTAAAAATCCACTCTCACTTCCGATTGTCATTCATAGACAACAGTGTCGATCATGCATATGACTCACCTTCTCCAATATTTTGTCCGAGTATAGTTAAACATTTATACGAGGTGTTGGTAAAAAGAACCATAATTGCAAATTAAAAAATTTACCAGAAATGAGCCCACAGAAAATAAGACTGAGAACAAAAGGCATATACTATTGATAGACATAGTAGTGCAGTAAAATTAAAAAAAAAACGTTTCACAAATAACAATATTAATAATAATACTAATACTCTCTCTAATTCACCTCCTTACGACTGAACGACTTGTGTAGGGGAAGGGACGGCTATTATTGTTATTTGCCGTGGCGACTTAAAGATGATTGATGGTGCCATTTGGCTTGCAGGTGAGAAAAACCTCACCCACCATCACTATTATTATATAAATTAATTTGTATTCATTTATATTGATTTAATAATGTTATTAATATTAATTATTAACAGATAATATCAAAATAATATTTGTCGAACAGCAAATTTTGACTACAATAGAAATTATTAGTTCCTAGTCTGGTAATTATATTATATAGTACAGGATTAGGTATATGTACCATATTTGAAAGTACCCTCGTAGACAACTGGCAATAATTTCTTGCAAATTATGGAAAAGTTAGGCAAATCGCTTTGTTGTTGCTGTTTTTAATGCATAAATGTTTTATAATTGTTTTTTGTGCAACTAAAACTTTCGCCATATTTGAAATGTAAAATACAAGAAGGTCAAAAATTAAAAAGAAAATAAGTCGTATTGCTTTTTAAAGGTTTTGAATAAAGGTTTCTTATAAATGTAGCGTCAAAGTGTTTACGGTTCCAAATTGGTTGCAAATACAGTAACTATAAATGTGTCTTTAAAATACTATTTGAGATTGCTTTATTAAACCCTTGTAAGTATTTACAAATAAGATTTATTATATTTTGCGGCACATTAATAAAGCATTTATAACGGAACTAAAAAAATTTTCTGATTTTTAATTTGGTTCCCAATTTAAGCTCATAAGAGTGGTATAAAGCCTGTAAGAATATCTACAAGTAAAATTATAAATCTTATTCTCTTATAAACCCATCATGTGCTACTTGGAAAACGAATAATATCAATGTAGCTGGCCGCGTGAGGTATATATCTCGCCGTAAGCCTGCCTGTTCACATTACACAGCGCATTAGGCAACGTTGATATTATTCGTTTCCTGCTCGACTAATGCTAACTCTGTAGTTTTCGCTTCGATACTTGCTAACCGTATTAGAAGATGTTCGATAGCTGATACAGTATATTATAAAAGTTTTAGGCTTTATTATATAAATTTCTTAAATAATTCTAATTATAGACGAATTTCTGGTAGGTATTTCTCAAAACACTGTTTTTTATAATATATAAGTATATTATAGAGAAATTTGTAGCCTAAACATCAGTTTTTGGGGTTCCTTGCACAATTGTGTCCTTATTTTGGTATCCTTTTTGAGAATAAGTCAAAAAGGAAATGTGTAGACGTACACAGGTAGCAAAATTGTGGCCAAAACATCAGTTTTGGGGTTTCTTGCACCCTTGTTTTTCTTTATTTTAGTATTCTTTTTGAGAATAAGTCAAAAATTAAAGGTCTAGACCTACATAGGTAGCAAAATTGTGGCCAAAACATCAGTTTTTGGGGTTCCTTGCACAATTGTTTCCTTATTTTGGTATCCTTTTTGAGAATAAGTCAAAAAGTAATGGTATAGACTTACATAAGTAGCAAAATTGTGGTCAAAACATCAGTTTTTGGGGTTCCTTCCACCCTTGTTTCCTTATTTTGATAACCTTTTTGAGAATAAGTCAAACAGTAAAGGTATAGACCTATATAGATAGCAAAATTGTGGCCAAAACATCAGTTTTTGGTGTTTCTTGCACCCTTGTTTCCTTATTTTGATATCCTTTTTGAGAATAAGTCAAAAAGTAAAGGTATAGAGCTATATAGATAGCAAAATTGTGGCCAAAACATCAGTTTTTGGGGTTCCTTGCACCCTTGTTTCCTTATTTTGATATCCTTTTTGAGAATAAATCAAAAAGTAATGGTAGCAAAAATGTAAATATTTTAATTTGCAACAATATTCAACGGAAAATTTCAATATCATAAGTACT